AGAGAGAGAGAGAGAGAGAGAGAGAGAGAGAGAGAGAGAGAGAGAGAGAGAGAGAGAGAGAGAGAGAAGAGGCAGGATTCGACATGCACAAGCGACAGCCCGAAAACGAACCCCATAGTCGGCAGGGGAGGGAGTATGATTTGAGGAATCCAGGCCAATTTGAAGGCGGGAGTAGATGCCAGATGGGCAAGCCGGCACGGGACGAGAGATTCTGACCTTCCACATTGCTGGCAAAAACGCTGTGGCGATCCTGCCGTCAACACTGTTAATGCCCTTGCATGCTCCTGGCAAACCTTATGCCGTCGGAAATAGTCCTTGCAGCTCATCAAGTCCTCCATGCACCCGTCCACCTGGCAGCTGGCTTGCACAGCGTTGGACAAAGGGAAAGCTACTGAGCCTACCGTCTTTCCCCTTCCTCGTTTAGTCTGACCTCCAGCCGTGTTCGTCTCTGTCCCTGTCCCTGTCCCTGTCCCTGTCCCTGTGTCTGTACTGCCCGTGCCCAGGCCGAGCTTGCTCCCATCCTCACAGTCACACATCATCTGGTCGCAGCTACCATCCTCTTCTCCTAGCCGGATGGGCCAAGAAGATTGGCTTGCTTCCGTACGGACTGCTCCTCTGGTAATCATGGGCTGCATGACTTGCTTCCGTACGGCCTGATGCTGCTGCTCCTGCTGCTGGTGGTGGTCCCGGATCATCTGACTGGAAGATGACCCGGGTGGGAAACCCATCCCATGGCATTCAATTTGCTCCTTTAGATCATTCACGACGGCTAGCCCACTGGCAGCCGAAGCGGACGGTATGATCGGGATCGCGTCGCTGCTCCCAGAGATTTTACTCCCCCGCTTTTCCTCTCCCTGAGCCATGACTGGATTAACCCCCATGAGGGTGGAGAGATCGCAGGTGGAAAAATGTGGGGAGGTGGTTGATGGGTGATGAGCTCCGGATAAGTCATACCCCCCCCCAAGGAGCATGCTGCTAAGTGAGTTAGACCCATCCACCTCTCCCAGGCGTATGGGCACCGCCGTGGAGGACGGAGGAGGAGTCAGGCTTGATACACCTGCCACTGCAATAGGCACCCCTTCACTGTCGGCCCCTCCTCCTCCTCCTCCTCCTCCTCCTCCTCCGTCTCTTTCACTGCTCCCCCGTAGCTCCCGCGTTTCTTCTCCCCCTGCAGCTTCTCCCCCCCCCCCT